AATTCTCTGTAATTTGTATAGTTTCAAGAATTCTAATAAAGTACTAGCGTGACTGCTTAAGTTAAAAAAAAAAAAAAAATGTAATAATCTAATAGATATACAAAAAAAAAATCCAAATATTGAATTAGATAACATTTTGTATATAAGAACCAAATAATCATTTATTTAAAGATGATATTTAGATATACAATAATTAGGTAATTTTTTATCTAAATACAATATAAGAATCAGAATATTTAAATAGATAATCTCTAAATAAATTATAAATATAACAACTAATGTAAAACCTGCAGGCAGACTACTTAAATAGATAACTAAAAGTTATATATATGACTAGTTGCACACTTATCTTGTATAAATTATATATAATACATTAACTAAAACACAAATAGTAGTCACTGTAACATCAACCTTGGCAAAAACAAAAAATAAAAAAAATAAATAAAAAATTTATCAACTTTAATTAAATGATTGTTAAGATATTTTTACTTAGTCAAAACATCTATCAAATAAAAACTATATTAATTTTTTTTAAAAACTTTGAACAAATAAATTTTAACAATTACTTAATTAAATTTAATTAATTTTTTTATTTATATTCTTTGAATTCATAAAATTCAAATAAAAAAAAGGTTGTTGAATTTGTTTAATTAAAATTATAAAAAATTTAGTACAACTTTTTGTTATAATAAATATTTTAATTTTTTTTTGATATCTTAATAATTATCTAATCAAATTTAATAAACTTTTTTTATTTAAATTCTATAAATCTGCAGTATTCAAATAAAAAAAAATTCATTAAATTTGATTTGCTCAAAGGTAAAGAAAAATCAAAATGTCTATCAAAATAGAAATTGTATCAATTTTTTTAAATCTTTGAACAAAGATAACTTGACATTTACCAAATTGAATTCAATTTACTTTTTTTATTTTAATTATAAGAACTGATAGAATTTAAACAAAAAAAATACATCAAATTTGATTATGTAGGTGTTGAAATATTTTCATCAAAGGTAAAGAAAAATCAAAATGTCTATTAAAATAGAATCTGTACTAAATTTTTTTAAAAACTTTGAGCGAAGATATCTCGACAACCACCTGACCAAATTCAATGAACTTTGTTTATTTCGATTCTATGGATTTATAGAATTCAAATAAAAAAAGTTCATCGAATTTGGTCAGGTAGTTGTTGAGATATCTTCGCTTAAAGTTTTAAACCAATTTTAGCATGACAAATAAACGTTTTGATTTTTCTTTACCTTTGATCGAAAATATCTCGACACCTACCTAATCAAATTTGATGTATTTTTTTTTGTTTAAATTCTATTAGTCCCTATAATTAAAATAAAAAAAAGTTAATCGAATTCGATTTGGTAGGTGTCGAGATAACTATGATCAAAAGTTTAAAGATAAAAATTTTTCAAAATTATGACCGTCATTTAATTGTCAGTCTGCTAATATTTATGGCCAATCATTATATATTTTTCACGTGATACTGGACCTCCATATTCGGGACCCCAATCAACAATCAGATACCCCAAATCAGCCAATTATGACTCTAGAAAAGTATAAAAATTGATTATCTAAAAAAAATACAATAGTAATACTAGCAAAACTTTTGTTGAAATGAATGCACTAAGACCTTTACAGATAAAAAATAAAATCAAGCGAGAAGAAATTCATGCTCGAAGAAAACAAGAAAAAAACCGTCGTAAAACGGAAACGAGGCTGAAACGACGGAAAGAAGAAGCCAAGAATCCAGAAAAAAAAGCGGTATATATTTTAAACAGGTCCATTTATTCACGTAATTGATCAAATACTAAAACATCTGACGAGTAATTTAGGACCGATTATCAAAAAATATACCTAAAACGCTTGAAAACACTCGGGAATTTGATGAAACGATTGTTGATCCCGATGATTCTGAAGTTTGCGAAGACGAAGAAACAGATGAATTTTCTGCATATTTTCGTGAAGGGGTAGTACCCAAAATTCTCATAACTACCAGTAAAAGGCCATCGAAGGCCGGGTATCAATTTACATCAGAATTAGTGGATGTATTTCCAAACAGCCAATTTATGAAAAGAGAAAGCAGATATTCGATAAAGCAAATCATCGATTCTTGTATGAATCGTGACTTCACAGATGTTATGATAATAAACGAAGACAGGAAAGTTCCAAGTAAGTTATAATCTATCATCATACTGTACTAATTAAAAGATCCCTTTTTTATAATATACCCGGGTGTTTTACAAATTTTTTGTTAGGTATTTTATATCAAACCCCCTGGATCTTTTAATGAGTATGATATGGAAATCTTATATATTTGAGTATCGCCAAATAAAAGCTGGAAATCTTACCTAAGATTCGCCGGTTATCATTTAGCAGTACTTGTAAATTTTGTCTGACTTATGTTTATGTTCTCTTAAGATGCTCTCACGTTAGTTCATTTGCCTGAAGGGCCTACCGCATATTTTAAATTAACAAGCATTAAATTAAGCCGTGAAATAGAAGTATGATGTTAGATAATACATTATATAACTTAATCGTAATCGATTCTTTCATGTATTATTTACCTGGTTTTCACTTAATAAAAACAGGGCCACGGAAGGTCATCGTGTCATAAACCCGAATTAATTCTTAATAATTTTAATACACGGCTTGGTCATACTATTGGTCGATGGCTTCAAGCACTTTTTCCTCATGTCCCAGAGTTTCAGGGGCGTCAGGTTGCAACATTTCATAACCAACGCGATTTCATTTTTTTTAGACGCCACAGGTTCGTAAAAAATGTTATTAATTGATATAGAACATCTTTTTTTAAAGAAAAAATATATAAAATCATAGGTATGTGTTTAAGAATAAAGAGAAAGCTGAATTGCAGGAAATTGGTCCCAGGTTCACACTCAAACTCAAGTGGTTACAAAAAGGCAAATTCGATAAAGATGAGGAATACGAATGGATGTTCAAAGTTTGTAAAATTTATGCATTATATTAATAAGATAAATTGAAATAATCGATTAATATTATTTGATTGTAGCCGGAACTAGAAACAAGCAGAAGGCGCTTCTTTTTATAATTGGCATATTGGTCATTTTGCACATACTTTAATGTTATTTACATATCGAATATAGCTATGATATAATTAAAAGTGTAGTAATAAGACCCTATATATATAACTCTCAATCCAAATCAATTTAAAGTGGTTTAAACCGTTTTATGAATTTAGCAGTCACAGAAGTTTTTCTCATACAGAGGTTTTATTTCTGTTACTTATAAATCAAATATTAAATTTTATTTATTAGAATTTTGCTAATTGTTACTGCATATAATTATTAAATTTTTTTTAAAGAATGAGTTAAGGTTTGGTATTGATGTAATTTAGTAGCACAAATGTATTGTAACTATATATAATAATAATGCAAAAAATTAATAAAGTATAAATAATAATTTAGTATTATAAAAAAAAAATAACAAAAAGATTTGCTAAAGTATTTTTTTAAAAAAAGTCAAAAGTTTGAGTTATATTGGTTTTTAGAAAGTTTTATAAATTAATAAGTATACATATTGAATATAATAATAATAAAAATAACAAAGGGAGCTGACATTTAAGAGCTCATTATGGTCCCCAGAGAAATGTCAATTGACTATGTCCCACACCCCCAAAGTCAATTATTTGACAATTATAAGTTTTAAAGTAATTAATAATATAATTATATAAATCTTGCATATTTTATAAACTCCTTGTATATTTTTATGCACCCCTTGCATTATTATGCATTAGTATGCATAAATATACATAAATATGCCTGACTATGCATAATAATGCAAGGGGTGCATAAAAATATGCAAGGAGTTTATAAAATATGCAAGATTTATATAATTACATTATTAATTATTTTAAAACTTATAATTGTCAAATAATTGACTTTGAAGATGTAGAACATAGTCAATTGACATTTCTTTAGGAGGGCTATAATGAGCTCTTAAATGTTAGCTCCCTAAGCAGTATAGATACTTCTTTAAATTATAAAAAAGTATTTAATTTAATCTTGTTTAAGAGTTTAAAACTAATATTGTAAAAAATTAAGATATTTAATAAAATAATTAAATACATTCTAAGTCTTTTTTACAAAAAATAACAAAAAATAGTTATAATCTATAGTTTAACAAAAAAATAATAAAAGATAAAATAGACAAAAAAAATATTTTTACTACTAATATAGTAGTTTTTTATAATTTATTGTTTAAAAAAATATAAAAAAAAGAAGTTAAACTATATAGTAGAACAATAAACAAATAAAAAAATATAGTATAACTAGAAAAACAGGAACTGTTATGAGTCTGAAGTATAATTGACAGCCAATCAAAGATGCAGAAACAAACAGACAGAATGCATGTGATATTATTGATTAATAGCAGATGTAAAAACAGAATGTTCTTTATTATGCTTTAAACAATTAAATTACAAAATATTATTAAGCAGCAATTGCATTTGTAATAATACAATATAGATTGTCAATACTAAAAAACAGCTATATATTAAAAATTTTAAAATAATTAAAAAGTTTTTTAAAACAAATAATATAAAAATAAACAGAGTTAAGTTAAAGTTGTATAACAATTAATAGAATATTTTGGCAAACTTTTTAAATAAACAATATAATAAGTTATATATATAGTTAATTTTTTTTTTTTCGGTATTAAGATAATCTCTTTGGTCTGAGCTTTTTATTAATACTTATAGCGGGTACATGTTTTATATAAACATATCTATAATAAACTATTAGACGAGTGTACAACTGACTACATATATAACTTTTCTATATTACCTATTTAAGAAGTCTGCTCGAAGGTTCTCCACCAGTTGCCATACCTAACACCTCTGCTTAGATGTTCCATTTAAACTCTCTGATCTAACTCTAGTATTAATTTCACCAAGTCACAGACCCAGATTTATTTGCATTTGATTATAGGACTATAATCTTTAAACTATTTTTATCCTTAAGGTAAACTTACCAGAGTGAGTTATATTCTCTTTTACCATTAACCTGGTTTGACACTATGACCAAGGTCAACACTTGCAGTTAGGGTTATCCCTTAAACTGCTATTACCCTTGTAAAGTTTACCCAAACCTTAGTACCCATCTTTCTAACTTCTTCTTCATCATCCTCTACTAGCCACAACTCAGAACTATCTGACTTCCCAGACTCCCAATTCAGATAGCCTAGTATGGTATACTTAAATATCCTTTTCCTTTGGTAATTCTGGCAACCTGGTTGGTCATGTGCTCTTCTACACATCTTGTCATCTGGTTTATCTGACAGTTTCTATGAAGGTGTTTCATGGGCTTCCATCAGTCCAATGGCACTATCAAAAGTTTGTGCTATATCTTTACTCGAGATTTCCAAGTGAGTTTCTGTCTTTTCAGTTTCTTAGCCTTCTACGCTCGGGGGTCTTATCATGAGTTTGCACTGAAGCCTTATACAACACTGGTTTTCATATTTCTCTATGTACATGTACCATGTAACATTACATTTCGCATAGATGCCCTAAGCTCCCAATGTTAGGTGGGGCCCGACTTGGTGTACCTAAAATTACAAATGCCCAAAACTAACTGATCTGTAAAGACAGTTACTGTAACATAGGTATAATTTCCAAAATTTATCATCTGTGAGAATTGAACCTTAGACCTGCCACTTGGGGATTGACAACCTATCCACTTCACTAGGTCACCATATCCCATATATATAGCTAATTGTACTCTTATTTTATAATAATTTTATATAAATATAATCAAAAATAAATAATATAAATTATTTATTTTAAACAAGGAATAAATTTATATTTATTAAATTTATTTAATATTTTTTTTTTTTAGATGTTAAGGTAAATATATGCAATCTAGAATTTTATTGATAATATATATTAGTCAGCATCTGTTGATATAACAGATACAAGAGCAATTATAAAAAGAGTATATAACTAGCCACTTATATAACTTTAGTTATTGTTTAATTTAAGTAGTTTATCTAAAGATTTTATACTAGTTGTTATATCTAGAATCTATCTGTAAATTCTTTATTTAAACATTCTAAATTCTATATTCACTCTATTTTATTAATGACTTTAATAAATTGATAAAGATATGTTATAGTTACTAAGTCATATTTAACTTTGTACTAAAACTTATTAGAGCCTTCTATATCTTATATTTACAGTTAATTTAATGTTACTTTGATCTAAATTATTACATGCAATCAGAATTAACCATCAAACAGCTATACTCTTGTAAAGTTTACTTAAAACTCTAGTACATATCTTTTTAATATCTTCTCTATTATCTTTTACTAACTGTTACTTAGAACTAACAGAACTTTTCAAACTTTTATTTCAGATAGTCCAATATAGTATACCTTAGTATTTTTTTTTTAATGATTTTAGCAACTTAGTTAGTTATGTGCTTTTCTATACATCTAGTTATCTAATTTATCTACTTATCCTTTTGAAGGTGTTTTATAAACATCTATCAATTTAATAGTACTATTAGAAGTTTTGTACTATCTTTTTATTTAGAATTTCCAAATAGATTTTTAACTCTTCAATTCTTTCATTTTCTATATCTGGTAGTATAGTTTTATTATAAATAAGTCTTATACAACACTGGTTATTAATATTTTTTATATAGATATAATATTATACTTTATATAAATGCCTTAAGTTCTTATTTAAGATGGTACAACTGAAGGTTACAGATATGCGCATTTAACTAATTAACAAAAACAGTTATTATAATACAAATATAATTTTCAAAATTTATTGTTTATAAGATTTAAACTCTAGACCTGTTACTTGAAGTTTAACAATCTATCCATTTTACTAAATTACTACATTTCTTTTATTTAATATTTATTTATTACTTATTTTAGATAAATAATATATTTACTTATTTTTTTTTTTAATATTAAAATAAATATTTGTAACTTAAACTTTTATTAATAATATGTTTTAGCTTTATAATTTTATTATAATAGTTACAAAAGGCAATTATAAGAAAAATGTACAATTAGCTACTTGTATAACTTTAATTATTATCCAATTTAAGTAGTTTTTCTGAAGGTTTTATACTAGTTGTTATACTTAAAAACTGCTTGTAAATTCTTTATTTAAATACTTTGGTTTTTATATTTATTTATTTACCTATTCTACTAACTGATTTAATTTTACTAATATAAATATACTATGATTACTAATTTTTAAAGTAATTTATTTATATAAAAAACTTTTAATCTTATACTAAATTTATTAGAGTTTTCTGTTACTTATTTTCTTGTTAACTCAGTATTACTATAACTAAAACTAACATTTGCAGTCAGAATAATCTTTGAATCAATATACTTTTATAAAGTTTATACAATTTCAGTATTCTCTTTACAACCTCATCAGTACTTTGTATACTCTTACAAGTTCTTCTATATTACTAATTCAGTTAACTCTATATAATATAACTTTATATCTGATTTAAGTAGTAGTCATATTGGTAAACTCTTTTTATTTAGAGTTTTTGCTTATACAAATTATTTTTTTTAAGTTTTTGTTTCTAGATTAAGATTTTTATAAATAATACTATTAAAAATTATATTATCTCTCTATTTAGAATTTCTAAACAAAGCTTTTAATAAAATATATACTTTTTGAATTTATTCATATAATATTATATATTTTCAAAGTTAGTTTTGATATAATCAGAATTACAGAGTTACAACTCAGATATCTCAATTAAGTTGCTAGAATAAGACTTTTTTTAAAATTCTACTATTAGTGAAATTTGAATTCTAAACCTACTGTTTAAAAAATGACAATTCAATCACTATACTAAAATTATTATCTTTTATATTTACTTATTTTGTTTTGATATTAAGTGATCTTTTTGGTTTTTTGACTTTTATTAATAATTTTTTTAATAATAT